GAACGAAATACAATAATTCAATATTCCATCGCATGCATACTCTGCAAGCAAGCGAACGATCGATGAATTTTACACCAGGTTGTTTTCTTCCTTTTCCTCGCGCGATCGCGTAAAAACCGGTTGAGAACAGTGCAAAACTGAAAGCTGGCGCACGGTTTGAAGGAAAAAAAGTACAACGATCCGGTGCCTCCGCTAATTCGCCGCTTTTGCCACGTGTTGCTATATACGCATTTCTCTTTGAGCCTCCTTGTTGCTTCATGAGCCGCCGCGTATACATACGTCTAGTCGCTCTGTCGATATATGTATAGGGATGAGTACTCGTGTCCTCGAACGCAGGCGGCTCGTGCGTAGGCAAACTATGGAATATGTCGGCCTATTGAGCGCAGGTGCTTTAAGCTGCTCAGCTGTTGCTTCGAATCTCATGCACATTCATACAAACATATATACATATATATATATATATATCGTCGGTGATATTGGTGCGCCCCACACATAAGCAGCCAGCGTATCAAACTGCGTGCGTGCAAATGCAGAAGGCCGACTCGCGTGTACCCACGCACTTATGCGTATCGGCAATTGAATCGTGAAACGATCGAGCCTTGTCGTCGGTGAATGAATTTGTTGGACGGTCGTCGATTATTATCTTTCATCGTTTATAGCTCTTCCTGAGAAACAATTTTTTTTGCAAATATCAAGCTCGAGAGGAAAACAAATTTTATCGTCCAGGAAAGTTGCTTTGCGACGTCGAATTCGGAAAAAAAGCCGAGGAGAATTTCTCAAAAGCTTACGTAGACTATTGTACGTAGAACATCGACCGAGCCAGATGGTCTGCTAATCTATGACCGAGGATTCACTATCAATTACTTTTTTGCGTCCCCTTCCTTCCCGAACTATCGATCAACGGGAACGTGTAATCCCTGACGCATACTCGACTTGTTCGTAACTTCCTCCGTCTCGAATGAGAAATTCAATGCGAGTAATTTTCTTATGGTCTCTCCTCGGCCTCAAGTCACTTTCTTCTTCGACCAATCCCTCCGTCACGAACGGTTCACTATACTTTCAGTTTCCATTTAAACAGTCGGCGAGACATCGACTAAACTTAAAATGCGTTGTTCGTATTGCCCCGAGGAGAATCGTACGCCTTGTCGTCGTGGTCGATCACTGTATTTTTAATCGATATTCCTCGGCACCTTCCGCTACATTTCCTGACATCACGTGTCACGATTGTACGACGAACCGATATATTTTCTCTACTTTTACGTGGCTCTAGTGGGGAAAGAAACTCTATTCTTATCCATGAGATTTCCCGGTATAAGTACTTACGTGTTCACAAATACTTGAAATAAAACACGGAAAATGATAACAAATTTAGTGATCTTTAACATTCTTTAGAGAATTCGTCTACGCAGAAATTGAAAACATCAATGATAAAGAATTATCGGTATATATTTCGATTTATGAATAGTACCAGTATACACGTTCTATTTTTCTTCAAAATTTCGTATCAACTATTTTGCTTTTTAATATTAAATTAAATCATACTCTTAATCTTATTAAGTGACCCTGATAGAGTTATGTCACTGGGAAAGGTCGACAACAGTTGCATACGTCGCCGTAGACATTCCTATCTACGCAAATCAAGCAGTGTCTATATATAGATCGTGTCTAAAATAAAATACGGTTCTGTGTAACTTTACGTCTAACATCGATTTTTCTTCATTGATAGCGTAGCCGAGCCACTTTCGTATTCTAACTGAACAGTGTTCGACGATGTTTCTGTTGCAGACGTATAAGGAGAATCGCGGCAACGAAAATCGAGACGAGGGAGAGAGGGGCAGCCAGCCCTTTGGTGAGCTCGAAGGATGCAGCTCCCAGGTGGGAGCACGAGGATTCCACCCGCGAGATCACCGGCGTCACTTCTCGTAATTATTAACGTGAATAACATCTTATCGACTGTGGCAAAGAAACAGTACAACGGCAGAAACACAAGGGGAAGCGGCAGTGTTGGCTTACATTGTCATCGTAGTAAAAACGCAAGAATAATCGGAAGTAGTGGAAATAGTCCCCACAAGGAGTCCCGTGTCGCGAGAAGAAGTCGTCATTTCGAGACGAAGACGAATTGCCGGCACCGAATCATCGCGAAATCCCAACTGTTGGTGTCAATTCCACGGCGGAAAGAGGGCGGCGAGGAATAGTGAAAAAAGGCGTAGAAAAACCAAGGAACGACGGAAGAAGAGGAAGAGAAGGTGCAAGAGAAGGAGACGAGGAGGAAGCAGAAGTTCGTCGGCAAGGAGAGGGCTGCCGACATCGTCGTCGCCGGCAACGGCGGAGAAGGAAGAAGAGGAGAAAGAAGAGGCGGCGGTGGCATAGGAGGAGGAGGCCGAGGAGGAGGAGGAGGAGGGGGAGGAGGAGAAGGAGGAGGAGGAGGAGGAGGAGGAGAAGGAAGGAGCCGAGGTGGCGGAGGCGGAGGCGACGGAGGAGAAGGAGAAGGAAACGCTGAAGACGAAGAAAGTGGAGTGGGGGAAGTATCGGCCGTCAGAGTGGGGAGCGCAAGGTGGAAGGAAGGTGGAGGAAAGGCGGTTGTGGTAGGGGAAGAGTGAGAGTACGGAGCAGAAAAGCATAGGCCGCGCGCTGAGCCACGAGGGGCTATTCGAGCGAGAAGGGGAGGGGAGACAAGGAACCCTGGCGGGGAGGGGACGCGGAGGCCTTCGGGGGGCCGACCAACCAGACGGCCGATGATGTCATCGGGGGAGGAGACCGAGTATTTCGCCCCCTACGGAGCAACCACGGAAAGCAAGCAACAGCAACTCCAGAAGAAGCAGAAGCGCACCAGACAGCGCGTGGACGCCGGCGAGCCGCGCAACAACTACTCGAGTATACCGCACTTCACCTCCCGGCCATCCTTCCACGGCGGTGGTCTATACGGTTCGATCTTTGGTGGCAACGGGCCAACGCACCCGCAACAGCAATCGCAACATCACCAGTCACAATCGCAACAACAGTTCCAGCAACAACAAGCTGGAGCAGCAATCGGTCAAGGTAACTTAGGTACAGTTACGACGGGGCCCACCGCTCAGCAGCATTCCGCCCACGCGGCTTACGGTTTCTTCGGGGCACCGGGTTACGGCCCCGCCAAGATGTTGAACGAGCTGCTCGGGCGACAAGTCAAGCAGGCCAGTGACGCCGGTGGTTCACCGCCAGAGGGCGGCCACGGGATGACTGGCGCCGGCATGGATTCTGCCGCGAATTTGCAATCAGGTGCTGTAGTTAATTGCGACGATCCTGCTACCACCGATCTCACGCAGCACATGCTTCGTGACATACTACAAGGGCGCAAGCTTACTGCGCTCTCGGTGCAGGAGCAACCCAACAACAATAACAGTATACACAGTAACAACAACAACACAACAACGGATCTACTTAAGTCTCAGCAGCAACATCAACAGAGTCCTCAACAACAGAATAGTGATAGTGCGCGTAGTGGAACAGTGCAGAGTGGTGGAGAGGAGAGTGTTGATGGGAATAACATCGTGAATAACGCGAATCACAGTGATCGTGATACTGTGATGCCGGGGGATGCTGAGGATAGCGCCGAGGACGCAGCCGCAGCTGCACGTGCCATGGAAGAGGCGTTCGCCGAAGCTGGTATGGAACCTGGGGCCAATCTAGATGGGTCGGACTGTGACCAAAGTTTACCACCCAGTCCCACGCAACCAAGGTCAGGGTCGGTGTCCGTCAAGGAGGAAATACAGGATTCATTGAATATCAAACGAAGTCCGAGCAATTCTCCTTGCCCGATAGTACCAAAAACCGAGACCAGTTCGCCAACGACGGAAATCAAACGTGCACGTGTGGAAAATATTGTCAGCACGATGCGTAGCAGTCCTGCCCTTCAAACTACCACGGTGAACGGTTGTAAGAAACGGAAGCTCTATCAACCTCAACAACAAACGGTACATCACGTTCTCCAACACAGTGTCACCGACACCATGATAGACGACGAGGAAGAAAGCGAAGAGGAGGAAGATCCTTCGACGATCAGGCAAAAACGCGAGGAGAAGGATAACCTCAAAAGTCAGTTAAAGTCGTTGCACGAGCAGTTAGCGCTAATGCAGCAAAAGTACAATGAGCTTTCAAGCAGAATGGAACCAGACACGAGCGAGAGCGGTGATGCGCCCGCCAGTCCTCAGCATCAACCTCAACCACCACCACCACCCAGACCACCGCGACCTCATCCACCGCAGTACAACGGCCTCCCAGCCATACCACCTGAACACACGCACGCCTCGGCAGCTATATACCACATGGGACACAAAGCCTACCTCGAACAGCAACACGCTGCTCTGGAGAGAATGAAACAGCATCAGGAGGCTGCTGCGAGGCAACAGCAGCAACAGCAACAACAACAACAACAACAACAACAACAACAACAGCTTCAACGGCAGACCCCTCCACCACCCCCTCCAAGTCAAACACAACAACAGAGTCAAAGCAATACTGGCCCGTCCACGCCGCAAACGCCACAAATGCAATCGGCGAGTACGCCTCTTCAACATAAGGACTTCCATGAGAGGTTAAATGTTTTTAGAGGTGCCGCAGCCGCAGTTGGCTCATCGGGTCCACATATCACTGGTGCGGATCTAGAAGGCTTGGCGGATATCCTTAAGACGGAGGTCACTTCGTCTGTAACGAACCTAATCGACAGTATAGTGACAAGATTCGTGCAACAAAGGAGGTTTATTGGTAAACAAAGTGAGGCGGCGCAAGTTGCTGCTGAACAATTAAACAAGGATCTTCTTTTGGCGAGTCAAATACTCGAACGAAAATCACCCAGGACGAAAGTAGTAGATAGAGGAGCACCACAACCACCCGGTGGCCCAAACGGGCCACGGGGGCCCCACAGTGGCGGGCCCCCTCCTCCGCAGTCTACGGCTTTCCCTCAAATCGGACTCATGGGTGGTGGGCCCCATGGTCCCCATTCTGGCCCCACAGAAAATAACATTAATCAAATGAACACGTTACCCCCGCATGTCAGACCGAATGGCGGTATATTTCAGACGCCAAAACCGCCGACGATATACGCCATGTCCTCCATGCAGGCGCAGCAGCAGCAACAACAGCAACAACATCAACAACATCGTGAGCACCAGCAAAGAGAACAGCAGCAACGCGACCAATATTGCAACCTGAGGAGTGACGAGAGAGAAAGCAGGGATTCGGAACAAAATGAGGCCCTTTCGCTGGTCATGACACCGAAGAAAAAACGTCATAAGGTAATTGTCACTTTATATATTATAGAATAATTTTTGGCACACATTTAGCCATTCCGAACTATTTCAAAATACGTTATTCTTAGGAAAATGAGCTTACATTCGAGTTTCTTCATTCGCCGACTTACAATTACTGTAGTTACAATAGATGGTTAAGATTCGTATTATAGTGCATTCACTAAAATATTTTTTAACCGTTTTTGGACAAAAATAATCTTATACAAGAATATTTCTATTCGTAAAAATTCATGTAAATTTTATCTCAACCAACATATTTGTATTATACATATATCCAGCAGAGATATTTAAGTTTTCTGTTTCTCGTGTTTTATCGAGCAGTCATGTATCGGTATACATTTGTAAACTATGAAAAACATTTTGTAATTACTAACATAAACTCATTTTCTTAATTACTAAATTGCTTTGAATTCACAATTACATTCTGTGCTTGTTTTACAATAATCTTAATATTTGTAAGGTTCTCAATTTCACAATAGTAAGTCAAGGTATCAATTAGCATTTTCATTCACAGGTTACGGATACGAGGATCACACCGAGGACAGTGTCCAGAATGTTGGCGCATGAGGGTGGCGGTTCGCAAGGGGGAAATGAGAGTCCACCGCCCCCACCTCCACCGAGACCTTACCACGGGGCACCACCGATGCTGCCAGTGTCCCTGCCAACCAGCGTAGCGATACCAAACCCTAGCCTCCACGAGAGTCAAGTGTTTTCGCCGTACTCACCGTTCTTCAATCCTCACACGGGTCATCCGGGTCAGGTACCACCCCGAGGATCGCATCACCTACCTGCGAGTCCTCCAGATGGAAGTGTAGAACTCAGGGATTCCCCGCCATTGCCTCATCCGCCAGCTATATTGCATCCTGCCTTATTGGCGGCTGCCCAACATGGCAGTCCAGACTATGGACATCTCAGGATGGACAGCAACGACCGAAGCAGCGAATGCAACAATGGCGACATTAGCTACGACGGAGTTCCGCCTACAATATCCTTTTCTAATGCTACAATGAGAAAAGGTCTATTGGTTAAATGTTGGAGAACGTCCAGAACAGCGTCCTCAAGCTGGACACTGTTGTGTAATAGTTGAAAACTTGTCGAGGTTGCTGTTTAAAACCAGCGACCTACGTAATTTGTGTGGAGTCCGATAAGTAAGTAATTGTATGATGGGCCAGAGCCTGAACGTTCTCCAAAGAAAGTATAGTTAAAGTTCCAATATTAAACCGGGAAGAGTGTAACGACCACGCGATCTAAAAAGTTTAGACAAAGTGACCAGGAAAATTGAGCGTCGAAAAACGATAGATAAGCGGAAGAGTTGATGACGATGCTTAGGAATGTTTTTCCCCGTGGAAGGGAACGCGAAACTCGGAAACTTTGGAGAACAACGTCGAGTTCTCCGAGAGAAAAAGCTAGCCCGCCAACAAGGAGAAGGAAGCCGGGAGAATAGCAGGAGGCGGGAGGAAGCTCGGACGAATGTTAGATTAGTTTGCCACGGAGTTAGGCTAATGTTGGCTGCACCTACGAGTAGAGTTTGTCCGGCAACAACGCGCGAGGTCGAAAGTTCTTTGCCTACTCGGCCCACCCTCGACCCCGAGTCTCACCCAACTTCGCAAGCCAATAATCTGTCCCGCAATTTCGGAATTTAACCGCGGAAACGAGAGAGGAGGCGGTCTGTGAACTTCCTATCACAAGCGTCTCCTCGACTTATCGTAGATAAGCCACTTCTACTACTTCTCCGGCTGTATGAGAATCCACGGAACTCCGTTTCTACAGGGTCAACTTCCCGCCAACTAGATTCCTTATACTTGACGGCCTGTAACGGACTCTGTTTTGCTCTTCCGTTGTATTTCTCATGACGATACCTTCCGCTTCCGGCCACTGGCCATTTCCCTTAGATAGATACCGGGAAACCCGTAGGAAAATGTGTTATTAAAATTTCTATGTAGCAGTTCGGAATTTCATATGCTTCAGAATGAAAAGTAATCGTTGTCGAAGACCATAGTTGGATGAAAAGGAGACTTACTATCATTCGAATTCGTAAAAATAATCCGAAAACCGAGGAACTCGAAATGTTCCTACGACTGTTTGAAAATGATCACACGGGCGCGAAAAAGTTCATCGGATCGATTATTACGCATGACCCGACCAGGGAGTACTCTGTGTCCTTCTCGCTTACCGAAAACTCTCTGGCAAATATCGGGCTCAAAACCGCGGTGGAAAAAAGACGTATGTCGCGGGGCGGGAGGGGTGGGTTTGGTTGGACGTGTAAACGCGTCGGGAACGATGCAACGTCGGAACTGCAACGGTGTGTGTTGGTTCGGTTCGTTCGATCGGCCGCGCGGCGTTCTTTACCACCTTTTTAGCCGGCCTTTGATGTAAAATCAATGGCGCATTTTTTCACTCCCTCCTCTTGGGGTAGGTCGAGCGCATGGCCGCGGCACAACCTGCTGTTCACCATTCTCCTCTGAATTTACCCTTGTCTCTCACTCCGCTCGTGCTGCTGGGCCTTCGACGTATCCCGAATATGCTTTTCACGCTGTCCGAGTTTCCTTCCCGGTATTGCCTGCGTTCACGTGAACCGGGTTGGTGCACGCGGTGAATGTTCACCAATGAGGTCGTTACGGCCTGTCGGAAGGTATTCTGGCTTTCGGTGCATATCAAAACACAGATAATTGCGTAGACTATTTTTTTTATACATATATATTATTGATTATTTGAGAAATATAAATATTAAAGTACCTATTAGTAATTCACTCGGAACAGAATTTCTATTTGATTTTTTCGAAAATACTTGTGCATTAGAACGATTACTCCTGTAACAGCCAGTTCAGACGATACGGTTTTTTTTACCGATTCGGTAATTTTGCCGAAAGGAACGTTCACACGTGCAAACAAGGAAGTAAGCATACGCGTCAGAATTGGATTTTCGGTGAAGATACGGAATCGTATGAACCTTGCTTTATTATCGATTAGGCAAAATTACCGAATCGGTCAAAAACCCTTGTCGTCTGAACTGGCTGTAATTGTTTCAAATTTTAATATCTTATATATTTGAATATACTAATAGTCAATTCGGCGTATAATCTTTTTTTTTTTGCAATAAATAATAACAGAATTTAGAAAACTTCACGCATTGAATTTGAGAAACTGAGTCTTTTGTTTAAATTACGAATTTCATTGCAAGTGCATTTTTGCTTTTACTTACAAATGTCCGTAATTGATATTGTATTCGCAAAGCGCGGAATCTTTTTTAACATTCGAAATGCGACTCTCATGTATAATAAGCAGACGGCCCGTGATATGCGCTATGCATTATGAGGGTTGGCGGAAGAACTAGCTCGACAATGTAAGGGTGGCTACGCGGCGGAATAATCCTTATTACAGCCCGGGTATCTCGTTATCACTCATCGACGTTACCGAGAGAACGCAAAATGCGACGCGTAGTGCGCGCACGTTTGATGGCAACGGTTACACTTGTCGACTCGTTCGCTTGTAAACGACGAACCTCGCTTGTGCGCTGAGAGAGAGAGAGAGAGAGAGACAGAGAACGTTTTTCCCCGTCTCTGACGGAATTAGATGGCTTTACGCGGATCGAGTGTCCGGGGAGAACATTGCACAGATTTTCCACGATTATTCGCCACTCTCGCGTTGTTTCGCATCGAGTAAATCAGAGAGAACAATTCGAATTATCCGTGAAAGCAGTTCTATAAGATCGGAACGATGTTCAGAAACAACTCATTCGTGTCGATGCTAATTCAACTTGTACATATCTATCCTTTAGTTTGGTACATTAATTAAGAGAGGATCGAGAAACATATTAGTTGAAACCGGGAAGACTTTGTTCGTTCTTTGAATTAAATTCTTCGAGAAGTGAAGGGTTACTTAAAAAGTTAGTCGAAGGCACAGACAATACGTAAGAGATTGAACACACGGATTAGCCAAATAAGAATGCGATGAAACCACATGAGGATATCCTATTACCGATAAGGAGTCAGTAAGGCTTCCACTGAGGATACGGCCAATCGTGGGTCAACCTCGGCGAGAACGTTAGACCCCTACTACCCTCGCGACATCCACAGCTTGTACGATTTCTAATCCAATTTGATACGAAGAAAACACGATTAAGTTTGAGATATTTACGTACACAGAAACAGATGGTCGCGGACAGATCGTCCTTCTTCCGCTTGCTGGTTATGTTTAGATGGTCTGGTCCATACTCTTCCTGTTTCTGACAAGATGTTCGAGTAATATTAATTAAACCGTCTGTCGATTACGACAGACGACGATTGTTATTGAGGGTAATTTGAATGTCGGTTAACGATTACACAGCAAAAGAGTATTTCCTTAACCACGGTGAACTCGTCAACGCTGACGCCGATGCATTTGAGGAAGGCGAAGCTAATGTTCTTCTGGGTCAGGTACCCGTCTTCGTCCATCCTCAAAATGTATTTCCCCGACATCAAGTTCAATAAGAACAACACAGCGCAGCTGGTCAAATGGTTCTCCAATTTCCGGTGAGTACAACAAAAATTTAATATTTCCGTTTACAAATGTTAAGTCGACCAAGAGCTGTTTCAAGCTTGTAATAATAAACTAGTATTCTCATACCTTAAGAAATAACCGTTATCTCAGTCAATCGATGAATTCATTTAAAGATACAGTTTTCATAATTTATTAAGTACAGAAACAGTCCTCGGTCGCCTTTTAATAATCGCATGCTCAACTTCCGTTCAATCATCGTGTCGCTTTCGAAAAGAATTTAACACCGTACGGGTACGCGAAAATTTGCATAACATTCACGATCGCCGACAAGAATGCCAGTGTAAAATCCAAGAACAGAGATCGTTATCGAGCTCGTAAATCTTCGAGTCGTTCGATTCCGACGAATTGACACCGTCGCTGAATTCGATTTCCAATGTTCACCCTGCGACAGAAAAATAGAACAAGATCGTGGAAGACGTTACCTGGTACGCGTTCCCCATTTCGTGTATGCAAACGAAAACGAGCTTTCCAAGGGATCGACCACTCCCTACGCAGAAACGGTCAGAGCCCAAGAGACGAGAGTCACGATGGGTGTGCCCGAATCTTAATTACCCTCTCTTCGGGCCGGGGATAAGTAACGTGGCTACATTGCCGCAGGTATAAAGCGTTGGAGGCGGTTGGGTACCGACACATGCCGGCCGGCAGGCATTAGCCTGATTATAATTAGCCTGAGTACAGTACAGATCCGAGATATAAGGTGGTCGAAGAGGCCGTATGTGGTCACGCCGCTACATTATTGTCGTTTTCTTATCGCGAGAGACCACTATCCTCCCGGAAACCATAAGTTTTCAATGGGGTCTCCAACGTTTGCTACGACGTCTCCCGTTGTCGCGGTGGGTGGTTCGCCCCTCTCGTTTATTCCCACGATAAAATTTATTATTAACCCCTAACTACAAACGACTCGTCTCCGAGGTGAATAATTCGACAACGTATACTTTGTAACACTTTTAATAACCAACTGAATTTTTCATATCTATTTGGAGACACTGTGCCACTTACTGAAAATTGGTGGTACTGAAAGGATCGAGCTTCCAAAATCCTCGACTAAATTGTGCTAGTGAAGGAAAAATTCAAATTCGTCGATTAGACAAGTGGTCTGTAGCTATGGGCTTAGGAGACTACTTTGAACATTGTGTCCTTTCAAATTCCTCGTTCTAAGAAAGTATTTTATTATTATGTACTCCGGTTGACATCTAGTAACAGAAATGTCCACGTTAGAAGGGAACACATCAGAAGCACGAACTTGACACCATAAAACATGGTGCTCGATTTTACCAATCGATTTTCAATACCTCCATCATACCAGACCGTTTCACCGATCTCGTACGAAATATTCGAAGCGCTCGAGCGTGCCGCAGGGCAAGCCCCAGCCTCGAAATTCAATTAATGCAGACGAAAGGTCCATTAAAAACGGTCCCGCGTAAAAAAAAAAGAAAAATTAGGCAGGGGCACACTTAAAATTCCGCTGCGAAAATGAGCAGACACACTCCCGGCCAAAAATGTTGTCCGTTGGAATAGAATGGGACCCGAGGTATCAGGGCTCTCGCGAATCGCTTCGAATTAGGAGCGCGCTGCGTCGGCTCGAAGGATTAGAAGGGAGAGGCGGGTACCGCGGTGAAAATGGGCACGGTATAAAAAAATCACGGGCGTGTATGCCGAGTGAAAAGCAAAAAGGTACGCGCAGATCAGTTGCACGAGCAACTTATCCCTCGCGCCGATTGCTCGCGCTCCCCGCACTTCGACCTCTGCTACCAATCCCTCTTCCCTGGCCCTGTTTCGCTCTCACGAAACATTTTCCATCGTACACCAGCGAGAAAGAGAATCGGTTAGAGTGGTTGATAAGAGAGAGACCTGACCCCGCGAAGCGTGTTAGCGAAAGTTTGAAATGTCCAGCAAAAATTGCATCGGAGGCCGGCGTCCGTCGTCAAGCACAAAGCTAATTACCAGCTGAATATATTTCGCTACATTTTGTCGTGTCGGCCGCAGGGGCTTTGGTCTCTCTTCTCCGAACTACCCATCCATCCCCCAACCCTCCTATTCTTCAGTCTTTCCTTTTCCTCCGTCTCGTGTAGCTCGTGCTGCCCGTTGACGAATCAGACGAAACACGGGATGAACACGACAAGGGTTCTCCCAGAATCTCTTGCAGCGTCGATTAGAACTGCGAGCAGAGCGCGGCTGTCCAACCCTTTTCTGTTCTTCGAATTTTGTTCACGATACTGAGTGAAATCGAAGGAAATTCGATCTCGAACGGATGGTCTATTTGTTCCTCCGCCTAATGTAATTTTTGTGTCAATTAATCGCGAAACTACGTTTTACGTAGAACAATAAGTAATTCACTGTTCTTTTTATTATCGGGCTATATACTGTGGCTGAAAGGTAATCCGTTCCAACTATTCATTGAGTAAACGTAACGTGTAAGAAGTTAGAAAATGAATATAAATGAAGCTCTATATGTAGATCCTTGAGTTCCACAGAAACTGATACTAATTTCGGCAAGTAATAAGTCGATTAAATATTGGTATACCAAATAGTTATTCCTTTTCCTTAGACGGCGTGAAAAAATATAATATATGTGGAATATACCCCGAACCTGCGGTAAAATTAAAGTGTTCAGATTGGACTGTGTTTGCGACAGTTATCTGTCGTCGTTCATGAAGAATGAACCGCGGGGGAAAAAAGATCTCCCTTCGGACCGTGTCCGCATATAATCTCAATGTTTCTAGTCACCGGTGTCCATAAATAATTTCCACATCTCCCTATGGCGACCACCCTAACGGTCGTAAAAGGGAGAAATCGAAACTTTCCTCTTGATAATCCTTGCATATCAGTTTCGTACAAGTTTTCCCGTGAAAATGGCGATTAAAGGACGACACGAAGGTGCCAATCTCGCGCCTCATTAGGCACACTTTCACCCTACGGACCCTCTCCTTTGACGACTAATCACGTAAGGGTTTACCCCAGACACTTTTTCCTCTGGCTCTACGGCAGTCGTTGTTGAGCGTGCTCGATCTGATAGCCTAATGCACGGCTTCCTATGCGGAAATGCCTCGCCACATTATTCTACGATGCCAACGTGTACCTACCTGGACACCCTTCTACCCTTCACGATTGCCGGTTCAACGTTGTAGTTTTGTCACGTGAACCGCCACGCCGTGCTCTGTCACCGTGTTTTTGCCAATCTTCCGCAGTTTCGAACGAGTTTTAGTCAAAGAAGATTCAACAGAATCGATTTCTAGATTTACTTTAATATTTAAAGGAAGGGTATAAAGATTTTACTGTCATAGGCAAAGGCGCAAAAACGTTTCGTATGGAAAATTGATGGGAATAGCGAACAACGCTCTAATTATTTTTTCGTTATATTCTGACCTCTTCGAAGCACTGGAAATTATTAGTAAATAACTCTGTGGCTGCGTATTCCGTACTAATTATTTTGAAAGCAATTCATTTTATCTTTTTATTCACAGTTGTAACTGGGATACATGGTCTTAGACTATTAAACAGTTACATTAATATCGATATTTCCCTCATGTTCTATTTTAATCACCGAATCACCATCGAAGATATGAATATTAGTCGAGATTACGATAAGAACCTGCGAAAGGAATGAATTTTTGGATTGATTAGGTAAACATAGGTGGAATATATCGAGGGATCGATTTGATTGTTAACGGTTGATAAAGTTGAAAAGAATGTCAGAAAGTTCAAAAATATTTGCAATATTGTTTCTTTCGTCTTCGTATTGTATTTTCTTATTGTAGTGACAAGTTAATTATGAAAGCAATTTTTCTATGAAGTATTAAAAATATTTTAAAGTTTTAACTTTAGTTTGGAAGTAATTAGTACAGACCTTGTACGCACAAGACGAAAACGATTACGTTCGCCGATTCTTCAAAGGTACTTTTCAGAACCCTCACGACAGACTTCTTCGCCGGTACTTCAAACAAACATTCGAATGAGAAATTTCAGTATCCGATAACATAGCGTTCGGATTCCTTAAATTAAACAAAACTGCCGGAAGGTAAACACGCCTAGCTGGCGAGTCACGAGAAAAACCAACCCTCTATCGAAATAATAATTCACGGTGGGAGTCGCGAGGATCGTTTTCACGTCGTCTGCCGCGAATTGCCCCCCGGTCCCCCGGCAACGAGAAAATCGGTCCTGAAGCGAAAAAGGCGCAACAGAAAAGGGACGGAGACGAACGTCGAGGGGTGGTGGGAGGGTTTAGGGATCGAGGGAGGAGGGAACACGGTACGAAAGGAGAGACAGGGAGCGAAAGAGAGTGGGACAAGCTCTTTCACAAAGCAATTCTTCGCACCCTATTTTCTCACGCGCCACGTCGAATCGAAAGCACGTCCGATATCTTACGGAGACTCGTTGACGTCGAGCGTACATCATCGGATCTGCTTATACCGACGACGATATTGACAGCCTTCGTTCGATGAAGCTCGCCGGGGGGGATGATTGGGGTCGTCGATGACAGGGTTGCGCGACGCCTGTGTGTCCGTGTGTGTGCGGCAACTGCTACGCGAGCCTCGCGCGTATACGAGTCTCTCTATCTGCGTGCATCTCCGCTTTCCGTCCTTCCGTCCCGTCCGTCCGTTCGCGCGCGAAATAAAGGAAAAAGGGCGACAGAGAGAAAGAAAGGGTGAGAATCGCGCGAACTCGGGTTGGTTCGTTATCAGATCTTACGGTAGGACACGCGACTCGGCCAGCGGTGATCCTATCTTCCGGATGGAAGGAATTTTATGTCGTATAAATGGACATCGGGGCGTACAGGACAGGGACGATGGAATCCACGTCGCAGCGGTGCCACGGTTCCTGTGCGGCGAACGAGAATCAAACTATCGATTCTTTGACGTTTAATTCTGAGGCTACCGTTAAATCCAATAATTAAATATGACACGTGAACTCACTTATTTCAAGATTGTATTTACTACCGTATGTGTTTAGGATATATTAGAGGGAAGATATT